GAAGACGGAGCTTCAAACGGAAGCATTTCGTAATGCATATGCTGAGCTCCTTTGTCTCCCTTCCACAGTTACATACACTGTGATGGGGTGTCCTCGTGCTACTTTAAAGTTGTGCATAGTCACTGATAAGGTTAACTAGTTTCTTTTGGTAAGTCTACTATCCCTGCTCCACCCCATATGTAATGAACTATACACTGATTGACTAATCATTGCTTAACTTGAGGATGACACGCAAAGCTGATAAACTGATACTGCCACATTTCTTTCCCAAGGGCAAAAAAAAATTCTTCCTTTTTTTTTTCCTTTTTTTAAAAAATTTTTGGAAGGCTCCTGTCACATGTTACTCTGCCTAAGAAAGCAGTGGAGGATGGCTCAAGTCATTGGGCCGCATACCCTCATGGGAGAGCCAGAAGCTCCCAGCTACAGCCTAGCACCCTCCCAGCCATCCACAGCCTTTTTGGGTAGTGAAACAGGTTATGGAAGATTTCTCTGTCTCTCTCTCTCTCTCTCTTTCTCTCTCTCTTTCTTTAACTGTGCCTTGCAAATAAGTACATAAGCAAACTCTTTTTAAAAATATCACATCAGAAGGAAGAGCTTCCTGAGCACAAGCTTGTTTTACTTAATTTGAAAATGTTCTCTTGTCTCCCAGGGGCCCTTTCTTTCTCAATCCCATTCTCACAGTCACTTTAAACCAAGGTTATGGGCACCTCAGTGGCCAGGAACCTACACTGGACAAAGGTAGACAAACCTGGATACTTCCTCTGTACACTAGTAGAAGCAAAACAAAACAAAACAAAAAAACCACCCTCAACCACAGGTGTCAACACATCAACAGTCTTACCAAGTTCTCGGACAATTTCTCTAGCCTGTGAAAAGACATCCCATGGTGACTGGTGAAGAAGCCCGATGCGAGCCTCATCTCTTAGAGGAGCAGGTGCACCGTGTCAGAACCTGCACAACTGGAATGACTGCGGAGGTATGAAAAGACCAATGGCTGAGTCCCGCAGAGCTGGAAGAGCCAACAGTAGCCTCCAACCTTCCCTGGCCCTGTCCTCAGAGCTGGACAAACAGGTTCTCGTTAACCTCGCTCCATTTCCCGTCACTCAGCAGTTAGGTCTCACCTGCATGTTGAATTTGACCAAGAATGTTCTTTCCACTTCCTTGTACATTAGCTTGAAGCAGTGTCTTAGCAGAACAGTCTCCCTCGTCTATCTGCTCTGGGGAAAGCCCCAGGCTTTACACTCCCCTGGCTCTGCCTCTCCAGTGGTTGTCCCAGGAAACCCAGAATTTAAAAACTCTCCCTCTGCTAAAACTGAGCTCTTATTCCTACTATCCTTGATGTAGACTTTATCAGGCCTCGGTTCTCATCCTCAGCCTGTGGTTCCTCTGTCTCCATTTCTATTTTTCTTTAAAGGCCTAGGTTTCATTGCAAGTTTTGTAAACTTTTTAAATTTTTAATTTTTACTAGAAAGTCAGATATACAGAGAGGAGGAGAGACAGAGAGGAAGATCTTCTGTCCAATGATTCACTCCCCAAGGGACTGCAATAGCCGGAGCTACACTCAATGCAAAGCCAAGAACCAGGAGCGTCTTGCAGTCTCCCATGCAGGTGCAGGGTCCCAAGGCTTTGGGCCATCCTCGACTGCTTTCCCAGGCCACAAGCAGGGAGCTGTATGGGAAGCAGGGCTGCCTGGATTAGAACTGGTGTCTACATGGGATCCTGGCACAGGCAAGGCGAGGACTTTAGCCACTAGGCTACCGCGCCTGGCCCCTCTGTCTCCATTTTGATGCTTGCAAGTCAACTCCTTACCAGAGATCAACTCACTGAGTCAAAGGAGCGGCATGTGGGTGAGGCTGACCCCATAGAGTCCCAGTTCACAAGCTTCAGAATTCAATGGTCCTCTTCATTGGTAAAGGTCCTAACCTAGGCTCTATTCTGAGCACTACATAAGGACCCAGACCCCACTCTATCATCACAGCATCCTCAGAAGAATTTGCTGGCCAGCCTCCTGTCATTCACTGACCAATCAAAGGAAGGCCTTAAGCACCACGAGCCAATCAGAGACCTAACTGTACATGAGCAGATCATGTACCATCCTTAATCCCTTGGTGAGTGTGGGTATTGGGCAATTGCTGCACAACCACTTGCTCTGTGTATTGCAAAGTAAACCCTCCTTTCTTCCGCTTTCCTGGGTCAGTGATTCATTTGCTGTGGGTGGGGCAAATAGACGCATATCTGGAGGATTCTGCGACATAACCACACAGCCAGAATGGATGGCCTGGGGAGGGTGATGTACAGCCAGTTAAGCTGTCACCTGTGACACCAGCATCTCATATGGAAACCAGTTAAGAGTCCTGGCTACCCCACTTCCAATCCAGCTCCCTGATGATGCACCTGGGAAGGAAACTTGGCAAAGCACTTGGGCCCCTGCCATCTTCATAGGAGACCGAGATGGAGTTCCAGGCTCCTGGCTTTGGTCTGGCCTAGTCCTGTCCATTGAAGCCATTTGGGGAGTGAACTAACAATTCTGCTTTCTCACTCTTTCCCTCTCATAAACAAATTCATCTTTTAGAGAAAAACAAAACAAAATAAACACAATTTTTTTTAACAGAGGATTCTGACAAAGCAACAGCAGGAATGTGTGCCAATGGCCATCCAACCCTACCCTCAACTTCCACCTCACCCCGTCTAAGCTGGGGAATTGCCAGTGGCAAGGCAGGGTATGTGTGATGCCTCACGGCGTCTGGGGCTTGGCTAGAGCCTGTGCAGTTTTCCCCCTCTGAGTCCATGAGTCTCTGCAGTCTGTCCGTTGTGCAGTGTATATGTGTGTGTGTGTGTGTGTGTGTGTGTGACAGAGAGAGAGAGAGCTCCCTCTACAGCATCCAAGGATAATGGTGACATCCTCTTGTCCACTATTCTTTTCACTGCTCCCTCACCCTGCTATGAGATGCTTCCATGAGAGCCTGTCTCTTACCTTCTACTATCAGGTGCTCTGATTACAACCTCAGTGTCCCTAAGTTGGCATTGTCCTAAAAGAAAAAGTCCCTTTTCATCCATTCATTTTCAATATGTGGTGTTTTGAGTCCCTTAAGGAAAACATATCATTGGATCTTGTATACTTGGGTGAGAGTCTTTGGATTTTAAGTAACAGTATATTGCAAGTGGTTTTCTAGATTTCTATTTCTCAGCAAGAGAAAGAGGTAGAGAGAACACTCCCAATCACATGTCAGGCATTAGTATCACTTCCCAAGTACCTGCAACAGCTGAGTCTGGGCTGGGTCAAAAAGAGCTGCACTCAGTCCAGGCTCGTCACATGGGCTGCAGGGACCCTACTTCTTCAGCCACCCCTGCTGCCTCCCAGCAGATGCATTAGTGGGAAGACAGAAGCAGGAGCAGGGCTGAAACTTACACCCAGAGACTCTGACACAGGATGCAGGCAACCCAATCGTCTTAAGGGCTAACCCAAGCACCTGCCCCACCATGATGTTTTAACAGAAATTGTGTGTAACTCTTCCAGCCACTTTCCTTTCATTTTCATATACCCTGCTGTCCTTTCACTTCTTGTTACTTTTTGCTTGCCCAGATCAAGCTTAGCTAATTTCAAAAATACTGCTTCGGGCTGTGTTGCTTGATGCTGGCTCCTACATCATGGCCCCTACTTCTTGTTTTCTTTCTTTCTTTCTTTTTTAATGGGAAAGGCAAGTTTTACAGAGGAAAGAAGAGACAGAGAGGCAGATCTCCCATTTGACGGTTCACTTTCCAAATGGGCACAATGGCGGGAGCTGACCGGAAGCCAGGAGCATCTTTCGGGTCTCCCATGTGGATGCAGGAGCCCAAAGACTTGAGATTTCCTCTGCTGCTTTTCTAGGCCCTAAGTAAGCAGCAGTAACAGAGGTGGAGCAGCAGGAACACAAACTGGCATCTTTATGGGATGCCAGCACTCCAGGCAAAGACTTAGCCTGCTTTTGCTTTCCCACTCCATTCCCTCCCCACCACCCAGATTTCTTAAATTCATTAAGATTGGGACCTTTCCCTAAATTAGACAATCAGTTTAGCTCATCCTCATCCCCTCTGAGCACCCCACTCCACCAGTATATGTTACAGAGTATATGTTCTTTCTTCTTTTTTTTTTTTTCCTGGTCCCAGACATTGTACCCACTAGTAAGCATCCTTAGCTGTCAGGTGCCTCACAGTGACTTCTTGGGGTCATTTCTCTTCACCTAGCCATGGCTCTGCACACCTGGGTAGGTCTGCAAAGGACTGTCCTCCGTACAGAGTAGTCAGACCTTGGTCAGTTCTCAGTCCCACCTGCCACTCTGTAATCTGAGATCTTTGATTCTGAGATGCTCACTTATGTTATTTCTCCAAGAGTTTCCTTCTTGCTTCTGGGGTACCTGCTATCCTATCGTGGAACATCTCCCCTATGGCCATGGGGCTTCCAGCCTGGCAATCCTAAAGTAAAACTGTCATTTTATTACATGTACCTGCCTCACACAGCATGCAAGGCCCACTCTCAGCTGTGTCAGGCATTTGTACCACATGCCAGTAAGAACTGGTCCAACAAGAATTGGAACTAAGCTCAGTTCACCCACTCAGATCCTAACTGCTTCCTAGGGGATTTCTCCCAGAAGCTTTGGTGTCTTTTCTGAAAATCTTTGTTGTGAAGCAAACCATCAGACACTTCTGGAAACATATCTACGAATGACTCAGAGAGAGGGAGAGTTCGCCCCTGCCCACAGAAAACAGCAGTAGAAAGACCTGCACATGGCCTGGTGGGTGACTGTAACAGTAAGGCCACTCATGGCACTCGATCCCTGCTTTGGTTCACCCGTGGTGGAGGGGTCTGGGGGAAAAAGTTCCATGCCCCCCTGCCGGACAGCTCTTGCACAGAGGCCCCCCACACTGCTGCCCCTTGCTCTAGGAGACACCAATCATCTAACCACACGTGTTCCCTATGAGGCCTGGGAGCGCCTGTACAGCAAGTAAGGGAGGACACGGTCTCCAGGCTGCGCACACTTCCATTTTTATTAGCCACATTCCTGGTCCCTAGGAGAGACAACAGTGAGCCCAGGGCACCCAGGCAGCCACGAGTAGGTCCCACTTGGGTGGCACACTCGGCTACGTCCCCCGCCCTCCCAGGTGGGGAGAGAGAAGAGCGGCCAGCAAGCATGCAAGCTATTTTGGAGCCACACATCCTGGGACCCATGTCCTGGGCCAGGGTGCGTGGCTCAGCCAGCTTGGCGACGTGGCACTAGGAGTGGACGGCCCTGTTGAGCGGGCGCCTCTCAGTGAAGAAGCTCTTGAGCAGCAGCACCTGGCTGAAGCTGACCACGAACAGGGCAATCGTCTCACCCACAGACCAGTAGGAGACGCGGCTGTTGAGGTCTTCTGCCCTGGCGCGGTCCTGGGCCTCGCGCAGTCGGTAGTGGGTCTGTGAGTCGATCACAGTCTTCAGGGCCTCGTGGATGGTCACGCAGGCTGACTCCATCTGGGCAGGGAGAGAGAAGCGGTCGCATCACTTAGCCCTGAATTAGGGAGCACAGCAAATCAGGAGACAAGGGCTTTGGTCACTCTCCCACTCCCAAAGACAGGGGTGCAGAATCCAGCACACAGGCAATGCTGGATGACCATGTTTGGACTGCTAACTGGGGTTCTGCTCTGAGGGTTTCATGTGGTTTGTTTTCCTCCTCCTACCATGCTGTGATTCTGAGAGGTCCAGTGAGCTCCCCAGAGTCACACTGCTGCTATGTGGTTGACACAGGGTCTGACTCCATGAACTGAGCCTTGAGACTATCCATTCCAGCCCTGCCCATGCCCACAGCACCCTCACCATTAGAGAAGACTGACTTACTGCTCAGCCACTACATTGATGGGAAACTGAGGTCCGAAGAGGCCACATGAATCACACAAGGTCCACACAGTCCATAAACAGCTGAGAAAGAACCAGGCCATTGCAGTGCTGGGCTCTGGGTCACAGCTCTGCAGTGAGAGCTTCTCGCATTCCCTGAGCACACACACGTGCACACTCCATGCGTTCATACAGATGCTCGCATGTAGTACATTATAACTTCCCACTGGAACACTCCAGGCAGCAGGCAGAAATCTGAAAATGTCCCCTACTGTGACCACATGGAGTGCCTTCCTGCTAACCCCAGGAACCTGTGACTGCTTCAGGCCGTCGTCACTGTCAGCTGTCACTGAGTCAGAGGGACTGTTCAGGGTCTGAGGGAATCCCATGCCAGACCTTGAACACCCAGCACATTGCTCACCTTGCTGCAGGAGGCAGCACCCACCTGCCCAGGGCCAGAGAGAAGGCCACCAAGGGCTGCGGGCACCACAGTTGGCAACAGGATGGATGGGACCTCAGTCCTTTGACTGCACAGCATGGGCCTGTGAGTGGATGTCCCTCCCCACAGTAGCCAGGGAAGAGCCCAGCCCTGGGCTACAGAACCTGGCCAAGTCTGCCCTGCCCAGGAGTACACAGAGCTGTGAGGGGCTCAGCAGACACAAGAGTGGGTGCCAGCAGGCACGGGGATGAGCTACTCAGTCACAGACAACCAGTACCTTGTGCCTGTGGCAAAACTCAGAGGCAATCTCACTGCAGACAAGGCTAGACAACACCATGTGAGCAAGTGCTCAGGCTCCAGGGACCCACCAAGCACCTGCCAGACACCTGCTTCAGCTCCCAAGAGAAGAGCACTACCCTGTCCCCTTACCTAAGACTGCACAGCAATGGCCCTGGGCTCCTCCTCCCTCCCATATGCATTAGCCAGGCTGTACCCACAGACATTTGATACTGGAAAGGGACAAGTGGATGTTACCCATTAGGTTACGCTGGGGACACCTGCACTGGCTCAAGACACAGCTACTCTGTCCCTAATCCAGCTCCCTGCCAATGTCCCCTGGGAGGCAGAAGATGTCCCATGTACTTGGGCCCCTGCCACCAGTGTGGGAGACACAGATGGACATCTAGGGTCCCTGGCTTTGGCCTGGCCCAGCATCAGTTGTAGGCATTCAGGATGTGAACCAGCAGATGGAAGATCAACCTCTCTTTCTTCCTCTCTTTAATTCTGCCTTTCAAGTAGATGAAAATAGATAAAAGCAGACTGCTGTGGATTCCAGGCAGACCTTCCAAGTGCCAAATGGTTTCAATGCCAACCAGTGAAGGAGGCTGCTGGGGCACAGAGCCCTGGCCCACCCAACTTGTCTGGCAATACTATGCAAGCTCCTGAATGCCTGCCAGCTGTCAGAGATACAAGAAGGGGGCTAAACCAGGAAGGACTAGGACTGCATTTCCAGCCTTCCTCCAGTATCCAGAAGCCCTGGAGAGGAAGGTGGGAGGAAGAGGAGTCAGAGGAAAGCCGCAAAGTGCCAGATGCAGGCCTCTCAGACACCACATGAGTCTCCCCTCAGAGGCCTTGCTCCGAGGCCAGCCACACCGGACACAGACAGTGGTGCTGCCCAGAGGACCTGGTGCCAGAGCAGCCCCAGGGAGGGAGGGGCCAGCTGCCACTGCTGACGTGGCATTGTCCTGCCCAGCCTGCTTGGCAACCACACAGTCCGTTGCAACACACTTGTGGGTGGGAACTTCAGAAAACAAAGCTTGGAGGTGGGGAGGCGAGGAGGGAATACAGCCAGGCAGCTCCATCTGCTGAGCAGCACAGCACCACAGGCTGCTTCCTAACCCAGCATGGGGCAACAGCAAGTCATGTGGGCACAAGGACCCAAACCACTGAGAGACTCTGAATCCATCAACCCGCTCTCATGTGGAGACAGGAGTCCTGCTAGGTCCAGCCCATCCCCAGAAGATGGTCACTAGAGTCCTACCTCCACCGCGCATCAATACCCTTGTCCTGGGGAGCAGGCCCTGGCACATGAACCTTTGGGAGGGACAAACTACCTCATCAGGCAGTGCCTCCAGCCTGTTTCCTACTTTCTTGGGGCCCAGGGTTGGGGCAGGGGAGAGGGGGCAGGAAATGGCGCTCTGTTCTGCCTACACCACCAGCTGTGGTTTGCTTTCCCTGCCTAGAAGCCTCTCCACTCATCCTGAAAGCTGCCCCTTGAACTCCACCCTTTGCTCACTCTGCCACCCCACTCACCTCCTCTACCCACTGCATGGCTGGCAGCTTGCAACCCCCACAGGACGTCCTCCATCCCCTGCCTCGTAGGGCCTCTGCAGACAGCCGCTTGGGGCCTGTCCATTCTTCAAAGACTTGACAGTAAGGCCTCACCATGGAGTAAGGAAACTCCAAATCCTGCCAAAATGGGTGGGAAACCTCAAGCCTCCACCCAGGGGCCCAGGTAACCTTCAGCTTGGCTGCCCGGCAGCTGCACTCCCCTGGAAGCAGGCGAGAAGTATAAACAGCACATGCTGACAATGTCACCCATTCTCACCGCCACATGGAAGTTCCTCCCTCATCCAGGACAGGTGTGCTACCTGCCCCAACGAAGCCATCCTGAACCTCCTGGGAGAACTTAAGATCCCCGCACTCTGCAACCCAAGCCCCAACCACAGTGTCCTGCGGCTCCCCAGCTCACACAGCTATTTCTTGCCAGGCTCCTAATACCAGTGAGGGTAGTGCTCCATGGACCAACCCATCAAGCCACCTCTCTGCAGATCTGGAAGGAAGGAGCATCTCCAGGGCAGAGTCCAGAAATGCCTAGAATGCCATCCACAGACTGCTCCATCAGCCATCATCAGCTTGTTCCCCAGCACTGCTGGTGCAAGATCTCATGCACAACACACACCCTCAGTGGGCAGGTCCTCCAACGGCAGCCATGTTCAGACTCAGCATCAGCCAACGGAACTTCCTGGGCCTGGCCACAAGCTTCCAGTGACCAATGAACATTGGACATGTCACTGCAGCACTGCAGTGCAGAGCAGGAAGTAGGTTTGTAATGTCACAAGGACGGAGGCAACACAGCTCTCCCTCCTGCTGCGGATGCACCAGGGGACCATGCAGAAGCCACAGAGGCCAGCACAGCACATGGCCACCTCGAAGCATGCCTGTTGAATGCCCAGGAGACTCCAGCTTTGCTCCAGGAACAGCCATGGGTGGTTGTTCCTGTCTGACAAGTCTCTACGGCTTCTGACAGTCACTCAACAGACATGGGGCCAGCTCCCTTTGGAAGCACGCCTCACACACAGGTGCAGCAGGAGAGGCGAGTCTTGGCTGCAAAAAGGCAGGGAGGAGGGGAAGAGAGTGGCATTCGGAGGATAGTCAACCTTGAGAGCAAGCTGACTTGGAGGTCTCTGGCCTCCTACACCATGTCACCACGGTAGCTAAGAGGGGAGCATCCGGCCAGGCCCGAACCTGCCAGCCTTCCTTCTTTGCCTGTAACTGTGTACCTGGCTCAGTCTCTCCAGCAGGGCAGGAGCAGAAGCCAAATGACTGCCAAGCAGCGGCCGGGCCTTTCTCATTCTCTCCTTTCCATGGAGAATCCCAAAACCCCCAGGGAAGGCACAAGAAAGAGCGAGCAAGCCTGGATCACCCCATTGGTCCTTATGCTGTACACATATTGCCCAGCAATGGGGCAAGGGAGCTTAGGACTCAAAGACAGGGAACAGGGGAGAGGGTTCAGCCAGGCCTGCAGTCATTGGCATTCACTCACCTGGGTGAGAGCCGTGACTTTGTTCCCCATGTCTGGCAGGATGGGGGGCTCGTCGCCCACTTGGAAGTCAAAGTAGACGGTCTTGTGTGAAAAAGTAGAGAACTCATTACTGAAGCAGAACTGGTAGACGCCCTTGACCTCGGCCCGGTGCGTGAAACTGTCGTACTGCTTCTTGGTCTCCCGGTAGAGGGTGTTCCCCAGGGGGTCTTCCACATAGCAGTCCACGTCATAGTGACCACCCGTGATGACCTGACAATCACAGAAGAGCTGCTGTGACCAAGGACCCAAGACCCCTTGACCAAACATAAGAGCTGGACATGTCACCTTTGCCACCTGCAGAGGTGGGTGCTGCCTCACCCCTTTGCATGGTCACACTGCTAGTAAGGAAGCAACAGGGCAGGATTTGAATCCCTGTCTGCCTAACCCCAAAGGTGTTTTGTTTTTTGGTTGTTTCTCTCTCTCTGCTAGAGTATGATGAGCCCAATTTTTCCCAACTGGTTGAAGGGGAAACTAAGGCTGCAGGTAAACTGCCCGAAGTTGCACCAGGGAAGCTGGCAGGGCTAGAGTCTTCCCCCAAGGCTGCCCACCGACCCTGCCTCAATCATTCCACAGCAGGAGTGATCCTGCCGTTAGACAGCAACTCTTCACCAAGGCCTCCAGAGAGCACGACAAGATGAAGCAGCGATGCCTAAAAAACTGTCCCAAGGCCATGGACTGCCCCCTCCCCTTGATCTTTGCTGTATGCCCAACAGAAGACAGGCAGCAGGTCCCTTCTTGAGGGCAGCGCCAGTCCTCGGCTGGGACGTGTCTTTGTCTGGAAGTGGGCAACAGTAGTACCCTCCTCGTACGCTGGGAGTGAGGATTTAGTGAGAGATGGTTCACAAGTTCTCAGTGCAGTACATGCCTAGTGGTGCCAGCCAATTGTTGGACATGCCTCAGACTGCAGACTGGCTCCCCACAGGCCAATAATGGACTGGGGTGGGGAGCGGGGGAGATGGGGACCTCACTCTAGGGCAGAGGCAGGTGGAGTGTGTGCTGCCTATCTCTTCCATAAGTCGCAAGAGCCTCGCCCCCTTCGGCCGAGCTGGTGATGTTTCTGACTTGCAGAAGGAGTCCAGTAACTTCTGACACAACTGCTGCAAACTGAAGGCAAGGGACAGGCCATGAAGACAGAAGTAGAGGAAAGACAGGGGAGAATCCCTGGGAATCACTTCGTTCCAACTCTGCCAGTTCACAGAAGGGATGCTAAGACACACAGAGGCAGAATCACAGAGCAGTCTCTAGCCTCAGCCGTGGTCCATGGCAGGACAGGGTCAGCATTCTCCATCTGCTTCCAGAGTGAACTGGCCCTTTGTTCCAGATAAAGATTTCCACACTCTTAGGTCCCGCTGCTGGACTTGTTTTTACCCATGTCACATTTCTGCCCTGGCATCCCCCAGAACCATCCAGCTACACAATTATTATTATACCATGATTATTTCTGTTGTTACCCATGTCAATCCAGCCAGTTTGCGTGCTATCCATATGTCTGTAAAAATGGACAGACGAGGCACTAGGCAACACCTGCACAGCTGATCCAAACCCTGCCTCCAGTGCCTCCGACTATCCTTGCCACTCATGCCCCCTCACTTCTGCAGCCGCACCTGCCCACAGGTGTCCGCCAAGAGATGGCTGAGGAAGATTCCCGCTCAACCTCCAACCCTCCTCCCTCAGCTCACTACAGACCTCCTGGGGCCCAACACCTGTTCCAGGGACCTGTGCCCCCTGACACCTGCTCCAAAAAAAGAGAGGCCAGGCAGGAGCTGGGCTTCTCGGAGCCAGAAGGCCACACCACCGCTCCTAAGCACCCACCAGACAGAGCTCTCCCAGGGCTGCAGCTTACATAGTGGAGACAAATGAAAATAATACTAATACTAACAATAATAAGCTCCCAGAACTATGAGCCCGATTGCTCTCACTGCCATCTTCCATGCTCCCTGGTGACCAGGAGGTCCGGGCTACGACTTGGAACAGGCTCAGAGCTTACATCCAGCAGATCAAAACCGGCGTTCATCAGAGGAGAAGGGGCTCAAGGAAGATACTCTGACCAACTTCCAGGGATGCAGGGCACTCCCCTCCGGGCCACGCACCTGCAGCGCTGACTGCACCCCACCCCGGCCGGATGGTCTCCCAAGGACCCCAACAACTCTCCTCCAGGGAAGGCAGCTAGGGTTCAACGGCCCCCTGTGGCCTCTGCGAGTTCAATCCAGCCTCCCCAGCCCCAAGCGTGCACCGGGCGCAGGTGCGACCCGGGATGGGTCCCAGTCACACCTGGTAGTCCAGGGAGAACTTGACGCCCTGCTCCACCTCCTCGTGGAAGCACTGCTTGGCGTTGTCCGGCAGCTCAAAGGTGAGCTCGGCAGCGCGCGGCCGCTCGGCGCGCAGCAGCAGCAGCAGCAGCGGGAGCAGCGCGGAGGCGGAGCGCAGCCCCGCGCGGCCCATGGCGCCCTCCGTCCGTGCGCCGCGGCTCCGGCCCCGCGGCCCTGGGCGGCCGGGCAGCGCCGGGTGGACCTGCCAGGGCCGACGTGGCGCGCGAGCGGGCGCGGCGCTTCCGGGCAGCAGCGGCGGCTCAGTGCGCAGCCGCGCGCTCCGCGGGGCCCGGGCAGCCCTGGCTGAGTGCGCGTGCGCGCTGGCCGGAGCCGGGCACAGGACACGCCCCGTCCCCTGGACGCGCGGGGCTGAGCGTCCCCTCGGTGCAGCCCACCCTGGCCAGCCGCTGCTGCTGCGGCGGGAGGCAAGCGGCGTTTGCACTGCGGAGGTCTCGGCTGGGCCTTCATCTCTCCCCCTAGGGGCCCCGAACTGCCTCCTGCAACAGAGTCCCAAGGGACGCACTGCGAGGAGTGAATGGGTTATCTTGTATTGCAGGTGGAGATGAGTATGTAAGAGGGGTATTCCTGTCATCACACGTAAGCGTGAGTGCACGTCCACGCCCGCACAGATCAGAAACAAGCGTCAACACAGGGTGCGTGTTGTGGGACTAAGGCGTCAACTGCTCCAAAGACTTTAGGGTTTTGTGTGAGACTTTAGAGTTCTGTGTAACTCCCATACACTGTGTTGTCGATCCACGGTGCAAATTTCATGTGTACATTTTTTGTGCACTTTTGTGTACGTGTACAGTGTCTTGCTTTCCACGGGGGAAAATGTTTTTTTTTTTTTGAAAGATTCAGAGTGACAGAAAAGAGCTTCCATCTGCTAGCTCACTCTCCAAATGATCGCAAATTCCAGAGCTGAGCTGCTCCAAAAGCTGGGAGCCAGGAGTTTCTTCTGGGTCTCCCACATGAATCCAGGGTCCCAAGCATTTGATCCATCCTCTACTGCTTTCCCAGGCCACAAACAGGGTGCTGAACGGGAAGTCGAGCAGCCAGGACCCAATCGGGATCCCGTAGGGGATGCCAGCACCACAGGGTAGAAGATTAGCATGTGCTGGCCATTCAACAGGCAATTCTACAGCCCATTTATGGGGATGGTTTTTAAAGTTTGTGAAAAGTGAAATTGAAAGATAAGCTTGGGGCAGGAGTTTGGTGCAGCAGTTTAGACGTGGCTGGAGCTCCTCCATCCCCCGTAGAAGTACCTGGGTTCGAGTCCTGGGCGTGTTGCAGGGCAGACATGCAGGGCAACAGCTAGGAGACCACTTGGGGGAGGAGGCGGGGAGAGGTGGGATGCAACATGCCAGCCCTGAGTTTCTTTCCAATTTTAGAATCGATTCGTTAGGATCACACCTGTAAAAATAAACATAACTGCAACTTCTTTGGTATATAGTCAGGAATATTCCATAGCCATATGCAAAGCACATGAACTTGCATCCTTATCTCATAATCCAAGTTTATCATAGACCTAAATGCAAAGCCAAAAGCTATGTAACTTTCAGAAGCATGACAAGACACGTGATTTTGAATTATGTAAACATTTTCTAAGACATCAAAAGTGTAACTTTAATGAAAGAAAAAAAATGATAATTAGACTTTAAAATTTTAAAATTCTGCCCTTCAACAAAACACTCTGTTAAGAAAGTGAGAGACAACTTAGAGACGGAGAAAATCACCACAAAGCCTATGGCAATAAGGGGTACACCCAGAATATTTAAAGAACAACTTTTTAAATGAGCAAAAGATGTGAACAGATACTTCACTAAAGGAGACACAGGAAGATCCTCCACAAGGTTCATAGAAAATGGGTTTAAAAATAAGTTGATTGGTGCTGGTGTTGTGGCAGAATGTGGGAAACCTCCACCTGCAACACCAGTGCCCATAGCAGTGCTGTCTGTTCTGTTTCTGATTCATCTTCCTGCTGATGTGTCCAGGCACCCAGTGGAGGATGTTTGGGCTCCTGCACCTATGTGGGAGACCTGGACAGAGTTCCAGGCTCTTGACAAGTCAGGAGCTGGGAATAGCCCAGGTCTCTCATGGGTGACAGAGACCCAGTGACGTGAGCCATCACCACTGCCTCTGAGCATCTTCTTTATCAGCAAGATGGCTGAAGCCAAGCACCAAACCGAGAAGCTCTGCTCTGAGGATCTAGCCAGCATCTCAACCCTTCGGCCAAGCCCTTGATGGTTGACAAGGCACCAAACCAAGGCGCTCTGCTCCGAGGATCCTAACCAACATCTTAACCCCTCGCCCTTGCCCTCTGTAGTATGTTTTATTCTCTCCAGACCCTTCTTCTGGGAGTCCTTCACGGACAACACTTCATCTAGGTCACATCCTTGCTGGGCCTTCTCCTCAGTCCATCATCTTCCTTGCCTGCCCCTCATGCTTATCCTGAAGAGTGCTCCCTCTGTACCTCACAGAAGGCCAAACCACTGGCCCATGTGTTGCTTCTCAGAAATTCAGCTCTGTTTCCATTCTTAAAAATATAGTTTATTTATTTGAAAGTCAGAGTTAGAGAGAAAGAGAGAGAGAGACATCTATCTGGTGATTCCCGTTCCAGGTGACCACAACAGCCATGAGTGAGCAAGGCCAAAGCCAAGAGCTTCATCTGGATCTCCCATGTGGATGGGACCACTTGAATCATCTTCCTCTGCTTTTCCCAGGCCATGAGCAGGGAGCTGGGTAGGAAGCAGAGCAATTGGGACATGAACTGGTGCTCACCCACATGGGATGCTGGTGCCAAGGGCACCTGTTGCATCACACCTCCCCCCCACACACACACAACCCAAACCTAACTCTGGTAGGTAAAGTAGGACTTACTTTCCCAAAACTCATGTGATTGTTTAAATTCTGATATTGTGATGCTAATGATTGATGAATTAAGGGTGGAGATTCCATCTAATTACGGTGTCTGAGAAGTGGATCTGATGGAAGGTTTTTAGGTCATTGGTTCTCACGAGAAGGTAGATTATTTGAGTTCAGGTCCTGCCTAGGTTTCTCTCTCTCTCTTTCCGCAAGCTCAATGTGAGGCTCCACACATATAACCTGAGATACATTTTCCTTTAATTGAAGTAACAAAAAAAGCAGATTAATACACCAACCTAAGAATTACCATTGCCATTAAGTAAATAGAATTAGTCTTTGGAGCTTTGAAAAAAAGAATGCCGAGTTCCCATGCCAAGTTGCCACTTACCCTGTTGCATGACCTTGGCCAGTCACCAACTCTCTCCACATATATTTGCTCAGTGGTAAGTGGAGACAGGTGTGTCTATTTGTACCTGCCTGTATATACACACAGGTGAGTACACACACACGCATACACTCCCAGTTGGCCCAAACACTTTTACCAAACAAGATCTACTTAAAAGAAAAACTTGTATGTGAGTAAACGGGGGAGGAACACTCCCATTAAAGCATAAGTAAGCATTTTCAGAAAACATAGCATGTAGGATCACGCCCTGATGCTCTAGAAAATGCTTGTCTCTATCAACCTGATCTCAAAGCCAAATAAAATTGTGCAAAGAGGGGAAGTTGCAGGCCTATCTCACTTATGAATATAAACACAAAATTATCATCCAAACATTAGCATTGCTCTTCTCCTTCAGGTTTGCAGATGGAAGCTTTGAAATAAAGGCTCCATTTCATTTTTGTGTCATGTAGACAACGAGTTGTTTCAGAAGATGTGTTGATGCACAATGCCACCTGTCTCCTACCTAACTTCCATCAACACGAGGTTCTGCTCTAGACTCGTTGTTCTAATGCTTGGTGATCCACTGCATGAATGAGTGTGCTGTGTCATGCCATTTTAATTACTGACACTGTTTAAATCTTGCCAACTGGCTCTGCAATCCTCACAATCATGTTATTCTTCAAGATGGTCTTACTTCATTTCCAGTTCTTGGCTCTTCCGAGGGAACTATAAATACATTTTTTTTCATCTCTGGTGAAAATCTTCTGGCCATTTTCATGGTATATGTATCCAGGGAAACCTGAATTATATGTGTCAACAATAGCTAATGGTGTAGCAAAGAATATCATGGTATGTTTTCAGTTGCCCAAGTACTCTTCATACCATTTCCACAGTGATTGCCCCAGTCCACAGTCCCACCAGCAGTGGATTAGGGCGCTTTACCTTCCACAACCTTGCCAGCAGGTGTTGTTAGTAGTTTCCTGCGTGTAGGCCAATCTTACTGGGATTAAGTGGAACCTTGAAGTGGTTTTTATTTGTATTTCCTTTATTGCTGGTGAGCATTTTTTCATATGTCTGTTAACCATTTGGATTTATTCCTTTGAAAAATGCCTGCTCACTTCCTTCTCCCCTTTCCTAACTGATGTGTTTATTTTGTTATTGTATCTTGGGAGCTCTTTGTATACCCTGGATATTAACTCCCTATCTGTTGTGTAGAGTACAAAGATTTCTCTCCCATTACATTGGTTGCTTTTTGTTGATTGTTGCCCTCACTGTGCAGAACTTCTCAGTTTGATATAGTCTTATTTATTTTGGCCTTCGCTGCCTGTGCTTTTGATGACTTTTCTAGGAAGTCTATGCTTGTACCTGTACCTTCTAGAGCATTTTCTATGTTTTCTTCTAATAGTTGATGCTTTCTGGGTATAAATTTAGGTCCTTTATCTATTTAGATTTGAACTTTGTGTTTGGTGAAAGGTGAGGGTCTTGTCCCAACAATTGTCCCTGAAACATCTGTTGCAGGGACCAACCTTTTTTCCTGGGTTGTTTTCTGTTCTCTTATTGAAGATTAATTAGTTGTACATGAGATACCTAAACTGTTTAATGAAGGATGAAAAACTAAAAATTTGAATTTTTAGAGTAATAACCAAGTCTCCAGATTTGTGAAGTTTATCTCTTAAAATTAGTAAGGAAATTAGAAATGTAATGAAAAAAATTAAATAATATAATGGAGATAACTAATTTGGTGGCATATTGATTGTAATTCTAGTATTGTTTTTAACACTTGGTAAAATAATTCTAAAGGATCATTTGTCCAATGAAGAGAACTGGCAGTGAGATTGACCCATGATTTGCAAAAGTGCTTTAAAACTCGATAGCCATTAAAATGAATGACTCTAGCACCAAGAGGTAATCACCTCAATGGAGCAGAATAGAATGAAATAGGATGGGATGGGGCTAAG